TCATAATACTCTTGGACTACTTCGGCCTCGTTTTCCACCCATCATTCTGGTCAAAGCGAGATATCAAAGACCACATAGGCGGCATATATTTAAACTAGCTGGGCCCCCTTTCGATGAAAAAAATGATCGGTGCATTAACATTAACAGACAGTCATTGGGCTACTATATTTACACTCTACTGGAATGGAGCAATACATTATTTTTTTTTGAGAGGTGCAAAACATTAGAAGGTCTGATCTATACTCTCAAAAAAAAAAAAATGTGCCTCGCGAAATATCACTTCCGGCACTTCCGCTGTGCAGGACAGCTACGCAGACTTGTTTCGTTTTTAAAAAGTGGAATAATCACAAAGGCCAAAGAAGGACCGGAAATTTTTGTCACATATATTTTCTAAATTCAGGAAATGAATCGATCAAATATCGGGCTCCGTCATGGGGACCTATCTATCTTTTTGCAGGTACTTGTTAACTTTCAACTTTGTAGCTGTCATAGTTTTATGGGAAAAGTGACAACTGTGTTTCCAATTTGCCAAGTATAATAGATAAGGTGTCGAAAAAATTGAATTTGTCTCTTTTTTAATGTTTTATTATTACTTTAAAAAAAGATATTGTTGTAAATCGACTTCAGTAAGCACTGGTTCATTCGTTTTCTTATATAATAATAATAAATAATAATAATAAATAGCATTTGTATAGCGCATATCCCCGCTCAACAGCTGGCTCTATGCGCTTTACGCTATATTATTACCCCAGCAGACCATAGAACACTCCGAAACATTCTCAGCTTCCCGGGAAGCATACAGTGCAAGCAGCTGATTAAGCGCTCAAGCACTAACAAACTGACAAGATCTTTCGCTGTCTATAGCCGGGTACCCATTCCCACCTGGGTGAAGTGAGGAAAATTCGTGTAAAGTGCCTTTCCCAAGGACACACGTCGGGCCCCTGACGGGATTCGAACCCACGACCTTACGGTTGCGAGTCCCAGAGTCTAACCACTAGGCCACCGACACCACTATCCTTTGAAACTGTCCATTCTTCTGACGAGCCACATTTGCCCTGCTTCCAGTTTGCCTTCAGATAAAGTACAGCACATGCTGCCAATGACGGTGTAAGTTTTTCAAACCAGAGTCTTTGTCATCATTGGTCTACATCTGTTCTTTAGAAGTGAGCCCATTCTATTAAGCAATAAATTACGATAACTTGATGTACTGACATGAAATTTATCTTTAAACAATCAAGACTACCCAAAAACAACGCAGCAATCAGGATAGGTCAAGTGGAAAAAGAAGACAGAGCATAACACCCATTTTCAGAGAGCTTCATCGTGTGCCTATTAAAAAAGGGGAATTATTTTTAACATTGCCACTTTGTGTTTTAAACACCGCACCACAGTATTTAATGGACCTGTTGCAGGTCTATCATCATCCAGGAATGCCCAGGTCACCAACCAATAATAAACTGGTCGTACCAGGGGTAAAGTTGATACGTTTTAGGAAAAGAATTCATTTTTTAAAAAATTCTGGGCCCGCCATTTGGAATATCACCCCTTATAAATAAAATCAAACAAGCAGCAACTTTAACACAATTCAAAAAGAGCCTGAATGCTCATATTTTAAACCATCTGTGATCCTAATAATATTTTATTATTACCATCTCCAATTTTATGCATGTTATAAAAGTTTTACCATTGACATAATCTGGAGTGACAACTGATCTATATCGTAATGTGATGACATTCTCTTTGTAACCAGAGAAAATTTTTATATCACTTTTAGCCGACGAGTTGACTCATACTTTTTTTTATATTGTGAGTTGTCAACCATAATCATGCTTTTATGACCAACTATGTATTTATATATGTGCTGTTTTGCAAGTTTATGTCCTGTTTATTGTACATGTAATAGTGGATTTTTATCAATGCACTAGTGGGTGACTCAGTTGCCTATGTCGAGCTGTGAGTAATCTTTTAAGTACAGGTTTTTAAAAACATTCTTCTCGATTGTGCATGTGTTTACCGTACCCCTTTTTTGTTGTTGTTATGCAAATTGAGTAACTTATCGAGATGAAAACGGATAATATAAGCTTATACGTGGTTAACCATATATAGATCTACATGTACATGTATAATATTATGATCTAAGAGCAGACAAGTTCCCAGAACAATGATTACAAGATAAGCCCGACTCGCACTTCGGCGTGTTAGTCAAACATAACAATCTGACCAACATCTCACCCCCTCCCTTTTCTGTCCCATATCTCACTTTGTTCCCTCCCACCCCTCTCTCACTCCCTCCTCCTTTTCCCCTCTCTCTCTGCGTGTCTCTCTATCAACCTCTCTCTCTCTCTTCCCC